AGGCTCTGCTCTAGGACTCTCACTTTGACTTAAATATAGCTGGATATCTTCATGCCAACATGGCATTCTTCCCATATCTTCACATTATCTTTCTGTGTGTATCTGTCCAAATTTCCTGTTAGCAGGATACCTGTCAGACTGGATCAGGGCCCACTGTAATGACCTCATTTTAATTTGATTGCTTTTGTAAAGTCCTATATCCAAAACAGGTCACATTCAGTTATACTGGGGCTTGGAATTTCAGCATAAGAATTTGTGAAAGGGACCTGTTCAACCCACAGCAGTAACAAAAGTAACAATTTTTAGTTTTGAGAAGGATTCATATATTATTAATGTCACCAGGAATCGATTCATTCCTTTTTGAAAGCACTTTAAGAATCTATTTTATAAGATATAAATATTCACATATGTTTTTCATGAATTTATTCCACTTCTAGGTATCCAGCCTATACAATAATCTAAAATATACACAAAAAATTCATATTATACAATGATGTTGACCACAGCATTGCTTTTCATTGCATAAAAGGAATAAACAACCCTTACATCTAGCAGGAAAGGCTTAGATTGACCATAATGAAAAAAATCTGTAATTAGTACAAATTATACGTGTTTAGTATGTAAAAGTCAGATTTACAAAATTAAAAATGATTGGATACATAGTATTACTGAAAATATTAATATGTGAAAAGACTAGACAGACATACGTAAGAGTATTGGTTTTATAATAGGATCATGGACTTTTTGCTCTTTTTAGTAATATAAGTACTATTTTTTAAAGTACTAAGCTTTCTAGGTGATTTGTTCCATCTATTTCCAGGTAACTCACTAACACATTGGCAAATATTGATGTAAACCTAGCTAAATTCTTTCTTCTATGTTCTAAATTACATTTTATACAGTAAATTAAAAATTAATTTATTATTTGTAGTGGTAATAATTATTGTTCTTATTTTTAACCCTTCACTAAGAGAAAGAGTTAAAATAGATTTTTATTTAAAGAATTTTTTGTGGTTTATCTGAATTATTTCAGTTTTGCTTTAGTTATGAAACACTTTGAGTTAATATGAAGTGATGTAAACATAACCTTGAAGCTAGCACTTTCATTAGACACATTAGTATTTGACTATATTTTCTTCATATCTTTATGCTTTACTTTGAAGAGAAATAAACCATATCAGATACATCCAACTTCATCTCTCTCTGTCCCTCTCTCTTTCCTCCCTCTCTAGATTTAATGACTATCCTATAATCAGGGTATACTATTTACATGTGTTTTTAGGCTTTATGATTTTATGTGTTCATGTTTGACTATGTGTAAATTTCTTGTGACATCTGTAGTATATGTTCAGAGTGTTGTAACAGGTACATACTATGTATAACTATTTTAAGGTTTTTGTTTTGTTTAGTGGGAGTGGGGTTTGAACTCAGGCTTTTGCACTCGCAAAGCAGGTCTCTACCACTTGAACCACACCTCCAGTCCGTTCTGCGCTGGTTATTTTGGAGAGAGGGTCTCACAAACTATTTGCCTGGGCTGGCCTCAAATTGTAATCTTCTTGATCTCAGCCTCCCAAGTAGCTAGGATTATAGGCATGAGCCACAGACACTCAGCCTATTTTATGTTTTTAAATTCTGCACAAAATTTATATTAGACATAGTTAAATAGACATACATAGTTGTATATATTAGTATTATCTATATTTTAAACTTTTCAGAAAAGATTTCTTATTGTATGTATCCTTTTGTAACTTATTTACTCGATGACTTTGTCTTAGGAAAGTGATTTTGATACATGTAAATCCAGTTCATTAATTTTAAATGATACAGAGTGTTCCAGTGTACACACAGCAATGTTCAGCCATTCCTCTACTTAACTGTTAACTTCTGTTTTTGCTAATGTAAGCAGTGTTACAGTTTTCTTGTGCACATAGCCACGGTTTCTCTAGAGTGTGTAGAAAGAGAAATGAAGTTACTATGTGTAACTTATGAGGTATTTCAACTTGTGAGGTATTTCAAAATTGATCTTCAGATCAATTTGTTTATTTGTTCCTTTAATTTTTTTGTAAATGTTTTAAAGCATTTATTTTCATATAGTGTATATAATAATATTTGGCATAAAACATTTTATTTTACAAATATTTCTATTTTGCTCTTTTAGGCTTTAATATAACTGCGGGAGTTAATGAAGAAACAGGATTTGTTTATGGTGGAAATCGCTTTAATTGTGGCACATGGATGGATAAAATGGGAGAAAGTGACAGAGCTAGAAACAAAGGAACCCCAGCCACCCCAAGGTAGTGTTGTCTTGTAGTGTTGGGTCATTCTGCCCTCCCGCTTAGCCACTTCCTTTTTAAAAACACACACCTGTGGAATCCCTTTCTCTACTAACTGTGTACAGTATAATAAAAATTAAATCAGTCTCTCTTCCTCCCCGCTCTCATGCACTTTCTCGGTCTTCTTGTGTAAGCCGTCAAGCAAAGCTGTCTGTTCTCTTCCTGAAGTTCCTATGGTGCGAGTCTTTGCAAGCACTTAAAGGAAATTGTGATTCTTTGTCTCAGTGGTTAGGACATTCTGTCTCTTTTTTTTTGGTGGAGTTTGAACTCAGGGCTTCGCACTTAGCAAGCACTCTACCACTTGAGCCACACCTCCAGTCCATTTTGCTCTGGTTATTTTGGAGATGGGGTCTCGAGAACTATTTGCATGGGCTGGCCTTGAACCATGATCTTCTTTTTCTTAGACTCCCAAGTAGCTGGATTGCAAGCATGAGCCACAGCACTTAGCTTGCAGATTTTTTTAAAAAGCTGTTTACAGGGGGTAGGGGGAAGAAATGGCCCAAACAATGTATGCACATATGAATAAATGAGAAAAAAAAGAAAAAGGTGCATCAGAGACCTGAGAAGTACACCACACGTGCTGCTCACCAAATTGCAAATTCATCCTACCTGGCAGAAAGCAGAGGAAACCGTGCAGTTTAATTACTGTTAACAGTAAAGAGAAGGCTGGAAAAAGGAAGGAAAAAAAAAAAGCTATTTATACCTGTATGCTAATTCAAAAATAAAATAAAATGGTTTTTTTTTTCTGTGGTACTGGGGCTTGAACACAGGGCCTTCACCTTGAGACATTCCACCAGCCCTATTTTTTGTGAAGGATTTTTCAAGATAGGGTCTCAAGGAACTGTTTGCCTGGGCTGGCTTTGAACAAGGATCCTCCTGATCCCTGCCTCCTGAGTAGCTAGGATTGCAGGTGTGAGCGACCAGCACCCAGTTAAAAATAAAATAAAATTTTAAAAATCTGTTTATTTGGTATACATTATTAGATACTATATTTTCTTTTTATTTCCTTGAAAATGAACATTTAAAAATATGTCATAAGAATAATCAATGGGAATATAGTAAGGGGACTTTTTTTAATTGGTCTGTACTCTACCACTTGAGCCACTTCCCAGCCAATGGGAGATTTTCTTACATGATGTAATACACATTTCTAATAACCTGAAAAATTTTAATATATGGTTGTTTTTATAATACATTAGTGTGATATTAATGAAAACTGTTTTTGAGTTTTTATTTATTTATTTATTTTTTTTTGCAGTGCCGGGCTTGAGCACAGGGCCTTTCACATGGTTGGCAAACACTCTACCACTGACCAACATTCTAGTCCAAATTGTTTATTAAGTACCCTTTTAAACAGTGTTTAAACAAATCCAACTCATATAATAAAATGTATCTTTAATTTTAGAGATGGGTCTGCTGTGGAAATTGTGGGCCTTTGTAAATCTGCTGTTCGCTGGTTGCTGGAATTATCAAGGAAAAATATCTTCCCTTATCACGAAGTTAGAGTAAAAAGACATGGTAAGCTGTTCATTTATTTACAAAGAAACTGCTAATGAACTACTTGTTTTTAACCTGCATAATTATCATTTAATGCATTAGCTAATACTAGAAAGCCCTAAATTTTAAGAGGAAAGAAAAATCATTAGTAGTGCGAAATTGTTACAAACCTGGTTACTAACCATATTTTTATGGCCACTTTGAACTGAAGTAAGAAAAACAGTAAGTTATTGCCTTATTGTGCTTTTCTTTCCTTCAGTATGCGTGTGAGCTTGCTGCATGTCCATGAACAACCTTGAAGTCTGTACGTCTTTTTCTAGAACAATGCTGTCCAGCAGAAATACTTATCTGAGCCACATATATAATTTTATATTTTTTAGTACTCACATTTGAAAAAAGCAACTTGAAATTACTTGTAAGATTTTTAATTCAGTGCATGTAAAATACTGTTCAACGTGTAATCAACACAAAATTATTTCTGAGCCATTTTACGTTCTTTTTTTTTTTTTTTTTTTTTTTTAATAGTACTGGGGCTTGAACTCAGGGCCTATGCCTTGAGCCATTCCACCAGCCTATTTTTGTGCTGGTTTTTTTTTTGAGATAGGGTCTCGTGGAACTGTCTGCCCAGGCTGGCTTCGAACTTTGATCCTCCTGATCTCTGCCTCCTGAGTAGCTGGGTTTACAGGGACGAGCCATTGGTGCCCAGCTCCATTTTACATTCTTTTTTGGATGCACTAAGTCTTTGAAATCCAGTGAGTGATTTACATTATTGCACATCTCAATCCAGACTAGTCACATTTTCAGAAAGTAGACAATTTTTTTCCTCCTTGTAGATAAAAATAAGTAAACTGAATATGACTTTTTAGCAGTAGCTAGATGTTTGGATTGCTTCGGATGTCTAAAACCACCTGTATCTTTTGTCACTTTTCAGGTAAGGTTGTAGCAGTCTCATATGATGACTGGAACAGAAAGATCCAGAACAGCTTTGAGAAGCTGTTTCATGTTTCAGAAGACCCCTCGGATCCTAACGAGAAGCACCCAGACCTAGTCCACAAGCGTGGCATATACAAAGACAGCTACGGCGCCTCCAATGCTTGGTGTGACTACCAGCTCAGGCCTAACTTTACTATAGCTATGGTCGTCGTAAGTCGCTTGCTACTTTCCACTTCAAAGAACTGTTGAGGCCTGAGAGCTGGTTCATGTCTGTGATCTTAGCTACATAGGTTCTCAGCCAAACTGGGCAAACCCTATTGCAGCCAATGGCTGGGTGTACTGATGCATGCCCACCACCCCAGCTACACAGAGAAGCACAAATAGTAGGACTAACTGGGCATCAAGTAAGACCCTCTCTCAAAAATAACCAAGACTAAAAAAAAAAATAAAAATAAAAATAACCAATATTAAAAGGTTTGGTAGAGTGGCTCAAGTGGTAGAGAGTGCCTGCCTAGCAAGCGTGAGGCCCAGAGTTCAACCCCACCCCCCAAAAAAAAGTTTTGATAGGATTTACTTAGACCTTTTTTCCTATTTATTTTCAAACTCATGTAACTGTAAAACTGATATTGATTGCTAGCTAGTTTTGTCCAGTGGTCTCTAATTAATAGAGCATGTACCTTGCCTTTAACCTGTAGCATTCAGCATTTAACAAAACAGTGAGTGAGGGTGACAAAGCAACTCTCAGTGTTTGTCTCCCGTCATAGCACACCTAGAAAATGGTATTTGTATGGCACACCAGGCTAAATGGATTAGAGCACTTGTGTCAGTCAGCTGAGCCCGCAGTCAGAACACTCCGAACTAGTGAACAAGTGTGAGCAGCTCAAATCCACGTTCCATTTTCTTTGCTGTATTGATCTGATTATGACTACTTCTATCTAGCCAAGATTTTTTTTTTCTTTGTGGTACTGGGGTTAGAACTCAGGGCCTCATGCTTGCTAGGCAGGCGCTCTACCACTTGAGCCACTCCACCAGCCCCTAGCCAAGAATTCTTGCTTCTGTACTTTCTTTTACAATCAGTCTACAAATAAATACAAGAGCAGTGAAATAGAGGCTGTGTTTGTCCAGGCCTGCTTAACTGTGTCCACTTTGTCAAAGGATTACTAGGCTAAATATGCTAGTGCACATCTGTAATCCTAGGTAGTTGGGAAGCTGAGACAAGAGGATCAGGGTCTGAAACCTGCTCAGAAAAAGTCAGTGAGTGAACCTAAAACTAAAAGCCAAAGGGTGGGGGCCATGGCTGCTCAAGTAGTAAGATGCTTGCTCAGCAAGTATGAGGCCTTGAGTTCAATCACCAGTACTGCCCAAAAAGAAAGAAGAAAAAATTTCTAAACAGTATAAATTAGAGTAGAATAAAAAACATAAAGGTACAGTTTGCATTTGATTTCATTTCGCCATTAAGATTAATGCAGACTTTTCTTTGTTCCTTGTGCATATCACAAGTAACTTTCATTCATGCCATTGGAGTACAGGTTCTTCTGTATTTTATCATGATCCTAGAGCAAACAAAGGGACTGAGACCTAGTTACAGGTCTCAGGACTCTGGTAAATCTTCTACAGGGTAAATTAGAAGCGTTTAAGTGACTTCTGCCTTCAGTGTGGCTGTGGCATCTTCTTTGGGATCTGGTACACATTGTTGATGTGGCAAGAGGGAAGAACCGCCCCTGCCTGCTCTCCTGACTTCTGAGGCCAGGGCAGGGCTTCCAACTCAGCTGCATAGGATTAAATCTGGTTAAGTGTCTCATATTCTGAACCATGCTTTATTTTTAAGTCATTTTCATTATTTTCCAAGTTTATGATTAGCTTCTGCAGGTGAGAGCTAATTTTTCTGTGAATGTTAAAATAAATATTTGCTTGTTTTCAATGTTTATCAGGCCCCTGAACTCTTCACTACAGAAAAAGCATGGAAAGCTTTAGAGATTGCAGAAAAGAAGTTGCTGGGTCCCCTTGGCATGAAAACTTTAGATCCAGAGTAAGTAGGATATAAAATATTGTTGACATTATATTTAATCCAGATTGACACTAACCATGATCCTCTTCTTACTAGTAACGTTTCTAAAACTGCATTCAGGCCAGGCTTTTGGAGACATCTTGTGTATCTTCATTGAGTATCAGTGGGCTTCTCTGTGTTCACCAAGCAGAGTTTTAAGTTTATAAAAATAACATAATCATGAATATTTTCAGTGGGACTGGACTTTGAACTCAGGGCCTTATGCTTGCAAACCAGGTGCTCCACCACTTGAGCCCACCTCCAGTGTGAATATTTTCTAAGCTTTTTTTCTGATTATAAAAGCAGTATGTGATTCTTATGGAAAGTATCAACATACTTAAAGAAAAAGTAAAGTCACTTTAAATCTCTTTATGCAGAAGTAGGCATCAGTCCCACCTGGTTTATTGCCCACTCTTTTCTGTTTTTATCCGTGTTAGGGATGAGTCCAGAGCTTATGCAATCCCAGGCAAGTGTTCTTCCACTTGAGCCTGGCCTCCAGCCCCTTTGTTTGTATTTGTTTTTGAGACAGGACACAGGGTCTTGCTACCTTTTTTACCCAGGCTGGCCCCCCCAAGTAGGTGGGATTATAGACATGCACCAACATGCCCATTTTCTTTGCCTCTTTATGCATATTTGAGCCAGAAGACTTTGCATAAAAGATTTCATGGGTTTGGGGTGGAGGAAGTTGCTCACTGGTAGAGAACTTGCCTAGCATGCAAGGCCCTGGTATTCCAGAAGCACACACACAAAAAATCATTTCATGGGTTCAGTCTCCAGCGCCACAAAACCAAACACAAAACAACAGCGACTGAGCTGGGGAAGTGGCTCAGTGCTAGAGCACATACCTAGCCTGTGCAGGGCTCTGACCTCAATCCCCAGCACCACACACACAAAACAGTATTTTCAGTCCCTTGCTACATTTCCCTCCCCCGACTGTTCTCCTCAGAAAGCGTCTATGTGTTGAGTTGTTTCTCCATGTAGCTCCTGTCTAATTGTAAATGCTGGGCATATGTGCTGCTCATGATGCTTGAAGTGTTGGGCATGATTTCCATCTAGTGGTGACAGATTTGGATCTAGTTCTCTTCCTGCCTCACCACCACCCTCTGCATCCTCTCTGTGTACTTATACCACTCTCTTCTTAAACCAGCAAAGTCTGTTTTTGTTTTACAATTGTGTGTTTATGCAATATATATTTCTTACCTTTTTCAACTTTTTTTTTTTTCTTGAGTTTCTAATGGCCTTTCTGTTTTCTGCTTTCCTCTAAAGCTTGATGCCTGTCATCAGCCTGCTCTGTGTCCATCAGTCAGCCGGAGCCTCCCTCTGTGCATGTTTCCTGCTTGACTGTGTACTCATCTCCATCTTGAGATACAAAATGTCCTGTTTGCACACGTAATTTTGCATTCTGTGTGCTTACATGTCAGGCTTGTTAAGAACTACTAGTCAAAAGTAAAACTCATAAAGCTTGCTCACTCTGTGTTACTGAAAAGGAAAGAAAAGTAGCAATTTAATTAAAACAAATATACTGCCAGGTGCTGGTGGTTCATGCCTGAAATCCCATCTACTCAGGAGACAGAGATCAGGAGGATCACAGTTTGAGGCCATCCCAGGCAAATAGTTGACAAGACTCTATCTTGAAAATACCCAACAGGGTCTGGCAAAGTGACTCAAGGGGTAGAGTGCCTACCTAGCAAGTGTGAGGCCCTGAGTTCAAACCTCAGTACCACAAAAAAAAAAAAAAACACAAATATACATTTATATTATCTGTTGTAATAGGTTTGCAATATTATCTTGTGTATAAGTTCTATGTAATATTGCTATGTATTATAAATTGCTGTTTGTAATGTGAGAATGTGCTAATTTTAATTTTAAAATAGCTTCACAGAGATGTTTAAAAACAATCTTTCTAAGCTGGACGTGGTGGTGTGTACCTGTAACCCAGCACTCAGGAGGCTGAGGCAGGAGGTTGTGAGTTTGAGTTCTGCTTGGGATATATAGCAAGTTCTAGGCCCACCCGGGCCTGTCTCAAAAAATCAAAATAAATAAATAACCTTACTGCTCTATAATCAATAAAACCTTATCTTTAATTCGTACTATTTGAAGTTACTTGTCATTACTGTAGGTGGAAATGGAGTTTGAACTCAGAGCTTCATGCTTACAAAGGAGGCTCTCTTCTGCCTGAGCCACACCTCTAGTCCTTTGTGCTCTAGTTATTTTGGAGATGAGGTCTCAGGAACTATTTGCCTGGACTGGCCTGGAAGCATGATCTTCCTGATTTCAACCTCCCAAGTAGCTAAGATTACAGGCGTGAGCCACCAGCACCTGGCTGAAATAGTTGAGTTTAAATCAACCATTATTTAGGTGCCAAGCTAACTCATATAATTTATTTGTATGTAAGTATATACAATAAGTATTTTTAATCATTTCTGAACACATTATTAAAATCCTTTGAAGTCAGTATACATTAATTTAAGGTTAAATAATGTACTAATGCTAAGCTGATCCCATAGATTGGAAGATAAAATGATCTGATTATTTCTCATACCTTCGTTATTAAAATTTCTCTTTTTATTTAACCTAAACCCCACTTGCTTTTCAGTGATATGGTTTACTGTGGAATTTATGACAACGCCTTAGACAATGACAACTACAATCTTGCTCGAGGTTTCAATTATCACCAAGGACCTGTAAGAATCTCATTTCTCTTCTCTGAGTTTTCAGTTTAAATTATTTTTCTAGATTATTTTAGATATTCATAGTTATGTTTTTCTTTTAAATCCTTTTTTTAGGAGTGGTTATGGCCTATTGGGTATTTTCTGCGTGCAAAGTTACATTTTTCCAAGTTGATGGGTCCAGAGACTACTGCAAAGACGATTTTTTTGGTTAAGAATGTTCTTTCTCGACATTATGTTCATCTTGAAAGGTAAGTTGTCTCGGATGGGTAATGTCCGTAACCAGTGCCTCATCAGTTCATTCGACGCTAGGTAAATGTGTTTCCTTAGAATTCATGCCTGTTTGCTCTAGGTAGCCCAGTGCACCTCGAGATCTTCACTTTTTAAAACAGCTTCTATTATGTAATTTTCATCTTCACTATTTTAGGTTTTAATTTAGTTTAACTTGAGGAGCTGATACTGTATTATTTGTCCATGTGGAGTAGTCTTTGATTTTCAAATTTTAGCTGTTAGTTTTGGACGTGGTTAGCACAGAATAAATATAAAAACTGAAAGTATTCAGACTAGCCTTTTTGTTTTTGTTTTGTTTTGTTTTTTGGTGGGACTAAGGGTTGAACTCAGGGCTTCATGCTTGAGCCACACCTCCAGTCCATTTTGCTATGCTTAATTTGGAGATGGGGTATTGAGAACTCTTTGCCCTGGCTGGCCCCAAACCTCAATTCTCCCCATCTCAGCCTCTCAAATAACCAGGATTATAGATGTGAGCCACCACACCCTAGCCAGGTGGACTTTTGAGTTAATTGATTTAAAGATATAATTCCAGAACTGCTTTGGTTATATTAAAGATATCAGTTGATGTTTTGACTGTTACTTCAAAAACTGTTTCTCACCTCCTTTCTCCTAACTGCAGACAAATAGTGTTGGGGCTATGTGTCCTTTAGGAAGTACAAATTCAGTTAAAATCTACCCTGATTTCTCAAATTTTAGATTTTACCTAAATAAGTCTACATTTTATTGCTCAGAATAATTTTGCATAAATTGTTTCTCCTTTCTTATAAGAACATAAGAGACTTTAATCTGTCACCACAAATGTTGCACCTGTTTGTTTTCATTAGCGTTAATGTAGTCACAGAAAGCTCAACCAACCAGGCACTACTTGATCCAGAGACTAGGAATGTGTGAGCATTCTTATATTCTGCTCCTCATCACCTTGTAGTGCTTCCCATTATTTGCAGTTGTTTTCTCTTTGTTCTCTTTTATCCAGAAGAAGTGAGACAATCTGGCACTGCAGGGGTCTTTCTACTTTTACCTGTGATCCCATCACTTCAGTCCTGTTCTGTAACCTAGCTCCAGTAATTATCCTCTCTGGTATTCCACTTGATCACTCCTACTTACACTACAAAGATATTTGTCGGCCCATCCTAAAACAAAATCCCTTGTACAGGTACTCAAGTCTTGCCCTATATGTTTTCAGCTCACATTTTCTTTTTATTTTTTTCACTTTTATATTAGCATATAATAGTTATACAGGAGGATACATTGTGATATTTACATATGTGTTTACACTACATCTTGGTGAGATTTACCCCCTCCATCATTCTTTCTCTTTTTCCCCTCCCCCCTTCTTAGAACTATTTCAACAGGTTTCATTCTTCTGTTTTCATATATGGGTACAAAATACATCCACCATATTCACCCTCATCTCCCCTTTCCTTAGCCCCCCCCAACACTGGTACCCACCCCCGAAAAGATCTATTTTACCCTCCTGCCCTTCATTTTCTAAGAAGTGTACATTGCTAGTTCGAGGGCTTTTGCCTTGATACTGGAGGCTTGTCTGTGTCCTTCTTTGATCTCACATTTTCTATAGGAGGAATCTCCTCTTCTGTTCAGGCTTTGACCATCCATTTAGTCATTGCCACCTGTGATCCAGCTTTTGTCCTCACCACTGGTGAGGACACATAAGACCTCTTCTTGTTTCTAGGTCCCAGACTCCTCCTCAGTTTTCTTTGACCTGGCTTTGTTTTGTTTTTGTTGTTTTGTTTGTTTCTTTTGTTTACCTGGCTATTTGTCTTTGACAGTATTTTTGTCATCTTTTCATTGAAAACCTATGCTGAGCTGGGTGCTGGTGGCTCACACCTGTAATCCTAGCTACTCAGGAAGCAGAGATCAGGAAAATCACGGTTCAAGGCCAGCCTGGGCAAATAGTTCTCAAAACCTCATAAATAACACAAAAAAGGGCTGGCGGAGTGGTTCAAGTGGTAGAGCACCTGCCTAGCAAGTGTGAGGCCCCCAAAAAAATCTGTCGTCCATAACATTAGGTTTTACTTGTTTACCTGGTGGTGGTGATGGTGGTGGTAGTAACTATAGTAATAACAAGTGATATCCAACTCTTATTACGTTCTGGCATCGTTCTAAATAAATGTATATAAAATGACTCATTTATTCCAAACAACTGTATAAAATTACTACCAATAATACTGTCAGCTCTTGGTCAACTCCAGGCAGTCAGGCCCCCAGCTACACTCTTCATGACGCTGGTGGCTCTTTTCACTCTCTCTGCTTTGACTCTTCTTCTAATGCCTAAATGCATTTGTTCTCTGACAACCTGTCTTTGGTCCTCTTTCTGTTCTAGCTTATTTTCTCCTGCAGATTCCATTGACTTTCCTGTCTTCAGCGTCAGATACTTTTGAATTCTTTCGTAACTCAGTTCTACTTCTCAGCTACCCAGGAAACTTCTCGACTGAGATGTGCTTTTGCATCACTTATCTCCCCAAACATTTTTTTCTTGCCAAAGTTCCCTTTTCTGTTAGGGTATCACTGTCACTCATACTCCCCAAACTCAAGCATCCCAGATACTTTACATTTTTCTTCAGGACTTGATGCTATCTGTTGGCTGCCTCCTGACAACCCATCTTCTTCCTTCTGTTGACCTTTCTAATTTGTATCTGAGAGCCTTTCCTCTGGAGTAGGCAGTAGCCTCCACTACCCCAAACTGGGTTAATTTTGTTGAAATTTAGCTCACAAATTCAGTCTTATGCTTTGAAATGTTCAATTCTCCATTCCTGCAGAATTGAATCCAAATTCCTTAATTTCTACAATCTTTTCTCAAACTACCTTTCCATTTTCTTTCTTACCGTCTCCCATAGCTACCTGGGATTGCATAGTATTTCAGGTGTGAACTTTGGTGTCAGGTTTGGTCTCAGATTCTGTCCATGCTGCTTACTTTACATGTGGCTTTTAATGTGTTACTTATCTCTGCAAAATTAGTTTCTTTGTGAAGTGTGATAATAAAATTATGACATTAGTTGCTGACAAGATTAAATGAGAAGATATTAAAAGTACTTGTCTACTCAATAAATGGTTTCAGTTAAGTGAATCATTATTTTCATTATCTATAGATTCTCTTTTTTTTTTTTTTTTTTTTGCAATACTATGGTTTGAACTCAGGTCCTCATGCTTGCTAGGTAGGCACTCTACCACTTGAGCCTCTCTACCAGCCCTTTTTTGTGATGGGTTTTTTCTAGATAGGATCTCTCAAACTATTTGCCCAGGCTGGCCTCAGACCACAAGCCTTCTGATCTCTGCCTCATGAGTAGCTAAGATTACAAGCATGAGCCACCAGTGCCCGGTTTCAATTCTCATACCTGATATTAGTTTTATTTTCTCCCTTTTTTCCTTATTTGTCTCAATAGAGGTTTATCAATCTTATTGATCAATATTATCAATCTTATTAGCAGTCTTCTTAATGACAAGCTTAATTGACTTCTCTATTGCTTTTCTATCTTCATTACTTCTCTACTCATTTTTATTCCCTTTCATCTCTTTATTTTGGGTTTAATTATTCTTTATTTTCAAGTCTTGAAGTACAATTTGAGGTCATTGGTTTCAGACCTTCTTTTCTAGCATAGCTGCTGAGTGCTATAAAAGTCCTCCTAATACTAGATTAGCAGTGTTCCAGAAACTCTGTTTTGATTTTCATTAATGCCAAGTACTTCCTTTTTTCTCATTTGATTTTCCTCTTTGGCCATAGGCTACTTAGAAAAGCATTATTTAGTTTTCTGATATATTTAGGAATTTTCCAGAATTGTTTCTGGTACTGTTTTCAAAATTAATTCTCTTTTGGTCTGACTGATTCTTCTAAACGTGTGGGTAGTTGTTTTATAGATGGCTCAGAATATGTCCTGAGAACCCAGGTAACTCGCCATTTCCATCGGAAAGAAAGTGGTTCTGCCGTGCTTAGGTGGAGTGTTCTAGAAATGTCATTCAGTCAAGTTGGCTGATGGGTGGTTAGTCTGCTTGTTCTGTGAAGTATGGACAGAGGAATAGTTAAATCTACCTGAAGTCTGTTTTTCTGTGCAGTTTTATCAACTTTTGCTTCATGTATTTCCAAACATATTGAGAATTGTGTTCTCTTGATGAGTCTGCCTTTATCATTATGAAGCCATTTCCTTAACACTGCATTTCTCTGCTCCAAGATCTACTTTGTGTGATATTAATACAGCTATTCTAAGAGTTCTTGGTTTTTTTGATTTGTTATTTGTTATTGTTATTTGTTACCACAACATACATTTTTCCATCCCTGTACTTTCAACATCTGTGTCCGCTTTGGCTCTGACACTCCTTCATGCAGTATCCTAACAAAGATGTTCTTCTCCCACCTTGCTAGGGCCTGACACCGATGCTAGGGCACCTCTGTATGTGATGCCTTCCTTGCAACACCTCAGCTCTGACTACCTACTCTGGACCACCCTCAGCCTCGACGTGAACTCGTTCCTTATACCACTGAAACTCTGACATCTTTGTCCAAAGTTCTTGCTACCCTTTCCTTCTCTCCCCCTCTTCTTTCTGACTGTGGGCACCTCCCTTGTTCTCTCCTTCTTAATGACTTCAGAGATGAAGACTTCAGGAAAGAGAACGTCCTTACCCAGCACGGGTATGTCCCATGTGCTAGTGCCCATGTCCCATACTGAGCAGTATAGTAGGGTTGGGTGACCTTGTTTCATCCATAAATTTACTAGTGTATGAGTTTACTAGCACTGCCACAACAAAACACCACAAATTAACTGACCTCCCAGAAATCATTCAACACTGGGATGTTATCTCACAGTTCTGAAGTCAAGGCAGAGGCAGAGAGAGTATAAGCAATAATAGGAAGGAACACATGTTTTTGCTGGTTGAGATAAGGATAGCTATACAGGGAGTTGACTCACATTGATTTCCTGTGCGTGTGTGTTACCTTCTAGGTTAATTCTTCTTGATTTAACCTTTTCTCTAGTTCCTGGTCCCCTTTTCCTATTGACCTCAGTTGCTTTTAAGGTATCTGCTTTGGTTTCTCTGCGTTAAGGGCAACAAAATGCTAATATTTTAGGTGTCTTACCTATCCTCACCCCTCCCTTGTGTGCTCTCGCTTTATCATGTGATCAAAGTCCAATCCCCTTGTTGTGTTTGCCCTTGATCTAATGTCCACATATGAGGGAGAACACATGATTTTTGGTCTTTTGGGCCAGGCTAACCTCACTCAGAATGATGTTCTCCAGTTCCATCCATTTACCTGTGAATGATAACATTTCATTCTTCTTCATGGCTACAGAAAATTCCATTGTGTATAGATACCACATTTTCTTAATCCATTCGTCAGTGGTGGGGCATCTTGGCTGTTTCCATAACTTGGCTATTGTGAATAGTGCCGCAATAAACATGGGTGTGCAGGTGCCCTGGAGTAACCTGTGTCACATTCTTTTGGGTATATCCCCAAGAGTGGTATTGCTGGATCATATGGTAGATCAATGTTTAGTCTCCAAATTTTTTTCCAGAGTGGTTGTACTAGTTTACATTCCCACCAACAGTGTAAGAGGGTTCCTTTTTCCCCGCATCCTCGCCAACACCTCAAACCCTCCAATCTTGACATCATTTTCTTTATGTGCATGTCTGTGTCTGCATTTCTCCTGTTACAAGGATATCAGTCATACTGGATTAGGGCTGACCCTACACCAGTGTGGCCTCATCTTAACTAACTATATATGCAATGACTATATTTCCAAATAGATTGACATTGTAAGGTACTGGGGTACTTCAATGTATGAATTTTGATGGAGATGCAACTCTACCTTTTATAAATACCCATGTATCCAACTTCAGAAATTTAGCATTTTACTCTGAAATAGCTTGTATACTTGGAAACAAATAAGCTTTCTGTATTTTCCACTTCTCTTTGACTGTTTTTTAAATATGTAGTTCCTACCAGATATTATTATTAGTTTCTATTCAGAATGTCCTATATTTACCTAATGAGTTATTTTGCCATTTTAATAGTAATATTTGGTACTACAGAAGAGTGTGTCTAACACAGCCATGAGTTATAAAACGTGATACTGAAACTAATATATTCCCCCAAACCAACTTAAAAAGAAACACTTTGGATTTCTGTATTCTACTTTTTTTGAAATTTGTTTCATATTTATGGGATTATTTTGAAGTTAAGAATAAATTATACACTCTAATGATGCCATGTGTTGATACTGAGACTCAGAACAAGTTATTTACCTCTTATCAATCCATTTGGCCTCGTCATAAGCCCCGGATTGCTATAAGCATGAAATAAGATTATATACTTACAATCTAATACTTAGCACTATATATATATATATATATATATATATAGTGCTAAGTATTAGATTGTAAGTACAAAGGAATAAGCTTATTGTTATTCAGTAGAATGAGAAATTAATTGGCGTTTTTCTGAATTATAATTCTTAGTATTTGTTACTTCATTTAGTTTTACACTTCTATCAAGATCATGTATTACAATTTTAGTCTTACAAACTTTCTCTAGAAGACTAATAAAATTATGGCCAGTCTTCATGGTGTTTGCCTGTAATCCCAGCACTTTGGAAGGCTGAGGCAGAGGATAGTGAATTCGAGGTCAGCCTGGGCTACATAATGAGATACTGTCTCAGAACAAGCAAACAACAAAAAAGACTGCTGACGGAGTGGCTCAAGTGGTACAGCGTCTGCCTAGTAAATGTGAGGCTCTGAGTTCAAATCCAAGTACTGCCAAAAAAAAAAAAGAAAGAAAGAAAGAAACAGAACTAACATGTATACGGAAATATCCCAACGAAACTCCTTTGTATAGTAAATAAACACTAAAGTTAAAAAAAAAAAAGACAATTGAAATTATTCTTGAGGCGGCGATATTTATCTCTATAATTGTATATATGGTTTTTGCATATCTTTACTACATGAAGAGATTCCTTGTTATTTGAAAGTCTTAAATCCCAAAGATGGAATATATCAAAGAATAATTTCAATCTAAATTCATTATGTATACATCTTTAGGATATTGTTTTATTTTGTAGCAAAAGATTATAAATTTCTGTACTAGA